CGTGGCAGATGGGCCAGGAGCTGAGGAGCTGCGGATGGATCTGGCCCTGAGGGAGGCAGAGAGGGCAACCCTCCCCATCAACCCCACTATCGCAAAGCACAACTAAACCTCCCCTGTGCCTGTTCCCTGCCCCACAGAGGACTACCAGGGCTCCTTCCAGTCCCACAACCATCTTCATTTCAGCACCATCAGCTGCCCTCACCCTGCCTTCCTTTAGTACAGGCAGCAGGGCTGAAGGCAGCAGCCTGCAGCACGGCAGGGGCGCAGCCATGCCAGGACATCCCGGGTGCTGAGGTATCCCCCCAGAGGTGTGGCACTGGGTTCAGCTTAGGCCACCCCCTGGCTCCTTGGAGACACCCAGCTTCTCCAGGAGAGGGGTGGGTGGGGACAGGGAGGTTTCAGGGCTCAGGCTGGGGTCAGTGCTGATTCACTGGGGTGCAATACCCCCCGTGGATGCAAGAGCCTGACCTGAGTGGGGAGGCTGCACACCTTGGGGGGCACATGGTATGTGTGGGGGTCACACATCACAGCGGGGCACAGAATCTGGGGGCTCACACAGTGTGACTGGGGTCACATGGCATTCACACACCATGAGGATTCACACATCATAGTGGAGGGCCACAGCATGGCGGGGTACATGGGGGGCGTCACGTTGGGTTGGAAATCACACAGCTTGGGGGAGGTCGTACTGCATGGGAAGGGGTCACAATGTAGTGGGGTCAGATGTGGTGTTACATGGCACTGAGGTCACATGGCTTGGTGGGGAGTCACCCAGCATGAGGGGCTTCACATGGCACGGTGGCTCACGTGGTATGTGGGGGGATCGCATGGCATGGCAGGGAGTCACAAACTGTGTCTGGAGGTCTGACAGTGGGGCAGGGGTCAGACAGTGCTGGGGGTCATACCTTGGGGGGGCTCTGTCTGGCCAGCTGTCCCCTGGCTCTGCCTTGCTTGCCCTTCTCAGCTTCAGGGATGTCACAGGTCCCCCCACCCCCATCCCCTCACCCATGTGGAGGGCTGCCCTGTGCCCCATCATCCTGTCCCCTTAAGGCCATCACGTGCCCCCCAGGGCCACTCTCCTGGGGTCTGGATCATGGCCTTTGATCCAGACCATGATCCAATCTGCCTTTGCCCCCCAGCCATGCTCCCTGTGGCCCCCAGGCTGTTTGCTCTGTGATTCAAGTGTGTGTCTAAGGCAGGTGCCCCAGCGAGGGGGGATGACCTTGGCTGGATTGGGGACCACAGGCTCCACCCCTCCCTCCTGTGGGGGCTGCCCCAGCACAGCCCCTGGCATGGGATGGTGCATGGCTGGCAGTGGGGTGCAGGCAGGGAGGCTGTGGATGGCTGCAGGAGGTGGGCAGGGGGCAGCTGCAGAGGCTGCAGAAGGCAGAGGGAGGCAGAGGCAAGGGAGGCTGCGGCAGGCACAGGGGAACAGGCAACAGAAGGCAGCAAGGCAGAGGCAGGGAGACAGGCAACAGGAGGCAGTGAGAGGCAGGGAGGAATGGCAGCCGGCAAACCCCCCACCCTTGCCTGCTGCCAGACCTCTGTGCCAACAACCTCCCTGGCAGCTGACGTGAGCTGGTGCCTCCCCCTCCTGAGGTGCCAGGTCCGTCGACAAACACTGCCTGCGCGTGCCCAGCCTCAGGGATGCGGCGGGAAACTGGCAGGGACAAAATCCCATCCCCATGCAGGGACCTGCCAGGGAGCACCTGCACAGGGCTCCCCAGGGACACAACCCCTCAGCCTGGCCACCACTGACCCACCTCACTCTGCTGCCAAAGTCTTTTGAGCTGCTGATGGCCGGAGGAGGTGGAAGGAAAAGCATCCAGCAAACAATTGCAAAAGTCAAGTCTGAGCAAGAAGGAGGGTGTGAGGGGGAGTGGTTGCCAAATCCGGTTGTATTCCTTGGAGACGCCAACAACAATGGCAGGAATATTTAATCATGTCTTGCAGAACCCAAACGGGCTGCAGGGCTGGGGGCTCGGGACCTCCAGGAACCAGCCATGAACCATGACTGACCCAAATGTGAGCTGGGACTAGACTCTGCACTAGGCTGGTACTTGTATCAGCAGGGTTTTCTGGGCCATCACCTGGGCTGAAGATGAGGCCAAGCACAACAAGCAGTTGCCAGCATGGAGAAGGGGACAGAGAAGTGCTGGCAGCCCCGAACACAGGCTGGGATGGAGGAGACAAGGACAATGGCTGACTGGGAGGGGATTGCAAGATGAAGCTGCGGATGAACCACTCAGCGTTGTCATTGGGGCACAGAGGTGGCATCAGGGACAAAACCTGCCTCTGCCATCATCTCAGGCCGTCACTGCCACCCCTCTCCCAGCCCCAGGGGCAAGGGGCTGGAAGTCTGTCTCCTGTTTGGGTGCCACCCCATCACCAAGGCCAGGAGGAGGTTTTAGCTCTGAACCTGACGCTCCTCTTGCAGAGTGCACTCGCTTCTGCAAAAACCTCCCCGCTGGTGGATGCCCTACGGCAGCGTGTCATGGCTGCCACCGTCATCCCCCTCGCTTCTTCCTCTACCCGAGGCCAGTAATAAAGTTTCCAGGCTGCTTTCCCGGAGCCATCTCCTCCCCTGCACAGCTTCAACGTCGCCCTGACGGGATCATCAGCCCCACCGGGCAGCCACCACGCAGTCCAGACTCGCAGCGCTGGGGGTTCCAGGCTGGGGACGAGGAGTCTGGCACCCGTGTGGCCCCCGCCCCGCATCCTCGGCAATCCTGGAGCGAGGGGTCCCCACGGCTCCCTGCCTCGACGGGCTCCGGGCGGTGGGACCCCTCCGCGGCGGCCGGGGAAGCCCTT